TCTTCTAACGTATCTTTGGCTTTTTAAACTACATCATCATCATTCAGGATACTCTCATTTAGTCTCCACCTTTTCATGTACTCCTTCTGTGTTACTTCCAGCATTGTCGGGTTATGGTCTGACATTACTCTGGGCAAAATTTCTGCTTTACTAGGTCTTAATATTATTTTCTTGGAAACCAAAATATTATCTATTCTACCTCCCAATTTTTGGGATTCTGAGAATTGGAAATTGGAAGAAGGTAAGAGGTAACTTCCCACCGTTCATAACCCTATTTCTTTCTTTTCTGTCCAAGTCTACAGAGGTCACACCATTAAAGTCTCCTACGAGAATTATATTTTCATTATTATGATCCCAATTTTTTTCTTCTAAATTCTTATAAAATTCTGAATTCTTACTATTTGGGGCATAATTTCCTCTTTTTAAACACTTGCCACAAACAATTTCCCCTTACAGGCAACCTGTTTATGGAGCATTCATCCTAATTTTTCGGCAGGAAGGTTTGCTGTTACTGTGCTGGGCAGATATTCTCCTGCAATTCCTAGTGCATTTCTCTTCACTCTTATCACAAAAATATATAATTTTGCTAGGAAGTGGGTTTGGTACACACAACCTGATTTTGCTGGTTATGTCATTGAATCCCCCTGCCCCGCAAAATAGTGACAGTCTAGAACCGTCACTCTTTAAACCCGTCTCCTTTTTACACCCCTGAAAGGTGGGGGAAACTTGAGGGATTGATTCCCATTCACCAATCCATCACCTTTTAGCACAATTAGTTGCAGCAGCCACAATACCAGTAAGGAGGGCAAAACAACATACTCCACTCACTTCTGATTCTGCAGTCCTTCTCTGAAGTGTCTTTCAGATGGTTCTTTTCCAACGAATGCTAGTAAATGCTGAACTTCGATCTCAATATACTGTGCTATATAATGTTCCAAATCAAGGGGAAAGGGTGGTGCTTCTGTGCATTTCCTCCTCTTTGGGTTCCTGAGAGTCTCTCTACGTTTTTTTCAGGACAGAAAAAAAGAAAGGGCTCCTTCATAGTTAAACCATGAAACTTGCTCCTGCAGAAGACAGTGATGGCCACCAACTTGGGTGGCTTTAAAACAGGGCTGGACAAATTCATGGAGGAGAGGGGTACCAATGGTACTAGTCACATGCCCTCATGACTAATAATTTCAGGGTCGTCAGGGACAAGATCTTTCAGCCATCCATAATGGGATCTTGCTATGCAACCTAAATGGTGCCTTTATGTTCGCCCTCTGCAGCTAATTGTAGCTGCAAGTGGATGGGGTTTGGATTTGGGAAATCAGTGTAGGAGGAAATTCCACAGGGAGATACATAGATCTCCTATACAATATCCACTTTGGCCACTTCAAACAACATTGCCTGTGCATTTCAAACATACAAACATCTGTCCTAGTCTTGCCATTCCTACCTGGTTCCTTCATAGCCGGGTGGAAAAGACTCTGTATTCTAGGAATGGTGGCTAGTTTTATAGGGAAGGAGAAATCACCCTTTATAAATATACCAGATGTGTTATTTTATCATGCGGCGTTATGTAGTAGTCACTCCAAACAAACACATTAGTTTCCTGGTTTGAACAACAATAAACAAAATATTTTGATTTTTTAAAATAAAAAAGGGTGTGACTGCATGCAGCATGAGATGCAAAACAGACCATAGAGAAGGAAATGGTTAGAGCAATCCACAGAAGCCATAACTGGGCAAGATATTGGGTGTGATCACGTTAGTCATGCTCAAAGTAGATCCCCTGCAATCTCAAAGAATAGTTAACATATTAATGTGCATTTTTGCAATTTTGTATGCAATTCTACTTAATATGCATGTTTGCAAGCCTCCCAGAGTGGCAGGGGAAACCCAGCAAGATGGGCGGGGTATAAATAAAAATATTATTATTATTATTATTAGTAGTAGTAGTAGTAGTAGTAGTAATGTAATATATTTTTGCATGTCATTTTCACTAATATATCTGCTTTTAATCACACTTCCTCCTAATGTATGCATTATTTGTTTGGATAACTGCAGCACAAAATTAGGAGGATTTCAAAGGATAGTTGTGTTTTCGTTTGCACATAGTTTTGGAAGCATGAATTACGTAGGTTTGCATTAAAATGCAAACTCAACCAACGTGATCCCCTAAGGAGAGGGCACTTGTGAGGCAGTTGCATCAACTATCTGGGCTGTTTCCTCATTCCAAAGCTCTACATAGTTTTATAGAATCCAGCACCAGCTATAAAGATTTGCATGTCAGTATCGCTGCCACACCTACTGCAGTGAATACCGATAGGAGGAATTTATTTCATTTGCTTTTGTTCTTTTACTTCCATTTATTCCATTGTTATAGTATCATTCGACGGCAACTATAGACTTGCTTTGGTTGTATTCAAAGCATTATGTGTAGCCATCGATGGCCAAACAAATAAAGTTCCAGTGTGGTTGGTAACCGTACACACTCGGTCATCCAGCATTGTAAGTCATGTCAGGCCTTCTATTTAACAGGTTTAATGTTAATAATGCAATGGATGGACACAAACCACTTTGTGTTTCTATTTTGTGTTTTTATGCTGTGATGTGCCCTGAGATCTTTGGATGAAGGGTGGTATGCAAATTTAACAAATAATAAAATTAATAGAAGAAGGAGGAGGAGGATCTGGTGCATTGGTTCTGCACATGCCAGTGCTGTACTGACAGCCTAAGGCAACATTACAGGAGGAGCTAACATGGTGCCTATTAGAAGCTTTTGGTCTTCAGCCCTGATGTGCCACAGCCAATGGAGCATATGGAGCATATGGAGGGCACCTCGTTGAATTCCCCATATCATCTCCAGAGTCCCCCATATCATGTATTTCCTGTTCGTCATTCCCTCTTCCTTTGTGTTGAGCTTCTGGCAAGATGACAAGTCTATGGGTGGGGACTGTTTGTTTTTGGCTGTGGTACAGGACCGTACTGCGTTTCCGTGTGCTGCGCTGGCTCGCCAGATGCAGCTTGTCATGCTGGCCACGTGACCCGGAAGTGTCTCCAGACAGCGCTGGCCCCCGGCCTCTTAAGTGAGATGGGTGCACAACCCTAGATTCGGACACGACTGGCCCGTACGGGCAGGGGTACCTTTACCTTTTACAGGACCGTACTTACCAGGTAGGCAGCATGCCACTTACAGACTCGGATGAATGCATATGGTTCTTGAAATTGCACTTCTCAAATAGCTGCTGCTAACATAATTCAATGTAGTTCAGCAGCTGAGGAAATTCCGTGACCTTCTGATCTCTGTTGGAAATTTGCAGCTCAAGGAATGGGATTCTAGTGTTTCGACAGCTGCTCTTTCAGGCAGGGGGTTCAGATAAAGATGGATTTTTGATTGACTTTCCAAAGCAGTCCCTGTTTTATACAGGGAGGAGATTGTGGTGTACTGACTGCCTGGTGGCCAAGAAATATCCCCATCACAATTTTGATGTTGCCTTTTATGCAGTGGAAGACCTTGGAGGCCTCACATTTTAGTGGTGCCCTGTGCGATGCCAAAATGTGGTGGCCTCCGGCCTCTTGCCTTTCATTCTACATCATAGTTACAGCATTCCCTGCAGCGCCCCCAAGGCTCTGTGCCCAGTGCGACCTAAATTTGCCTCTGCTTTATGTAAAGGGCTCAGTCTGTGGTTGAGTTCTTCCACCTTCTGTCTCTAGAAGGTTCCTGGCTGTCATTGGCAATAAAACAAGAGGGCTGATGTGACTGGACTGTAATTTCCATTATGCCTATTCATGTTGCTGTTGAAGCTGATGGAAGTTTTATTCCAACAATATCTGGAAGGCACAGTGTTGGCTACCCTTGAAATCAGAAAATTTCTGAACATAGTTATTTTTCTTCTTCTTTGTGGGATAAATCAGCCTCATATAACCAACATGCTTAACCAACATGCATGAAGGGGTTAAGACCATAGAGTAAACTGTCCAGTCAGGTTTAGCTAGGTCACACCCCCTTACTTGGGGAGAAAGCGTTAACAAAGCCTTTGCTCTCTCTCTCTCTTCTGCCATGTAGCTGCTCAGTACAGATGTCTGGGCTGGTTGCTGGTTGGTTAATCCACTATCAGATGTTTACAAAACAGTTGAAATGTGATAAGGTAGACATGCTGAGATTAAATAGAAGTAAAGGTAAGCATCCCTGAATCCATACTACATGTGGTGATTTAAATGAGTCCAACCAGCAGCCTAACTCACGATATTCCATACAATGAATTGAAAAGGATGTTCAAAATAACTTTTATTAAAAAACCCCCAGAACCTTTTCTTTTGGGAATTATAGGGACAGAACTACCTAAATTGTATAGAAATTTATTTATGTATGCTACTACAGCAGGAAGAATGCTACTTGCCCCAAAGTGTAAAGAAGCAGAAGTCCCAACAAAGGAAGAATGGATACAAAAACTTTTGGAATATGCAGAAATGGTGAAACTTACCGGAAGAATAAGAAATCAAGATAACAAACTTTTTATAAAAGAATGGAAATGATTTATTGAATATTTACAGATAAATTGTAAGCAGATAAAAACAATAACAGGATTATTGTAATAACCTGCAGTTATATAAGAGTATATATTTGCAGTCAATAATGAAATGAACAAGTTAAATGAATTTGGATATGCAGAAGATATTAAAAAATAAATTTAAGGAACCGCGGAAGAAGGGGGAAGGAAGTCAAAGATTATCCTGCATGCTGTTAATAATAAAACTCTAATGTATACTCTAATGTAATCATATTTAGTTGTGAATATAGCAGCTGTGAACATATCCATTCATCTGCTCTTGATTTTGTTTGAAAATTATATATTTAGAGGAGAAAACGAGCTCAAATGGAGAATGTTAAATTGATTGTAAAACTAATGAAATGTATACATTTGCAAAGTATAAATAAAAACTAAAACTAAAAAAAGAAAGAAAAGCTATTTCATACAATTGGTGGGCAGACTGGAAGCCAGCAGACTGGTTTCTCACAAATGGGCCAGTACAAACGCCACCGAGGTGAATGTCACAACATTGGGTAGCCCACCAATTTCCCCACCACCCCCATTTCTACCCTGTATTCTCTCTTGGATCCAGTTGGCATAGAAAGGTACTGAAATGTAGACACCTGGGCGGGAGGGTTGGCCACAGCCCCTTCCCCAGCTCACAATCCCAGCCTGCATCCAACCTTCTTTGAGCTGGCAAACTAAGGGTCCCCCGGAGTCACCCTGTGGAAAAAGAGATGGGAGATGGTACAGGATTTGTGGTGAACATGGCAATGAGCACTCTGATTAGGAAAACCGATTAGATGAGGGAGCTGGAATGAGGTTTATAACCAGGGATGGGGAACTGGTGGCCCTCCAGATGCCTCTGAGCTCCACCTGCCAACAGCTTCAGCCAGCATGGCTCATGGTCAGGGATGGTGGAAGTTGTATTCCAGAAACATCTGGAGTACAACAAGTTCCCAGCATCCGATATAAATCTTCATTTGCCTCCGGCAGGTACTAACCTGTGACCCTGTCAGCCTTGGCCCCCTTCGACTGCACCTGTAACACTAGGGGTAGAAATATTGCTCTACTTTGTAGGGTTTGAAAGACTATTGAAAAAATTAATAAGGATTATTCAATTCAACATCACCAACGCAACTAATGAACAACGCAACTAATGAACTAACTAGTGAACAGGACTCATTGGGGCAAACAAAGGTCCTTCAGAATCACCCTGTGGAGAAAGAGATGGGAGAAAACATGGAATCCATGGTGGAAAACTCTAGCAACAGATTCCAAATACTGATCAGCCAAGGGGGCTGAAATAAGGTTTATAATGCTCTGGTCCATGGGGTCATGAAGAGTCGGACACGACTAAGCGACTAAACAACAACAACAACAATAGGAGATGGGGAACCTGATGTTGTTGGTCTCTATATCCTAACAATTACAGCTAGCATGACTCATGGTCAGGGGCCTGAGACTAACCCCACCAAACAGAAGAGGACTTGTTTCTGAGTTGACACGTATGGGAAACTTTTTTTTTTTTAAAGAAAGGTGTGCTATACATATTTTAAAGAGAGGAAGTATTTTTTTATTCTTTCGAATCTGCTTTATTCTTGGTTTTGGTTATATGAAGCTTTTATATTTTTAGGTTTTATTGCTAAAACAAGCAGCACAGAAATATTTTTAAACAAAACAACAAGAACTCTTGGGGAAATAGGTGAATCTGAAAAGCTGCAAGGTGCCATCTCCCAATGGTAGACCAAAATTAGGAAGAAATGGCTAAGGGCTATGTTCACACAACGCAATCATTCAAAGAATCGTAGATTTATAGAATTGTGGAGTTGGAAGGGACCCCAAGAGTCATCTAGTCCAATCCGCAGCAATGCAGGAATCTCTGCTAAAGCATTCTTGGCAGATGGCCATCCAACCTCTGCTTAAAAACCTCTGAGGAAGGAGAGTCCACCACCTTCAAAGGGGGTCTGTTCCACTGCTGAACAGCTCTTACCATCAGGAAAATTTTCCTAGTGCTCAGGCAGAATCTCTTGTAAAATTCTCTTCATAAAGACATAAGGTATTTTTCTTTTTATAATGCCATCACGCCAGAGCCTACCTTTGTCTACCTTCTCTGATGGCTGTATGAAGAACAGGTCATGGAGCAACCTACCTGGCAGGAATCTTTCCCACCTTCTGGGTAACCAGCACAGATCATATCCTGCTTGACAGGATCCTTTCTTAAGCCCTTCTCTGAGACACTGTTTAAGAGAGCATTGCAGGCTTCTCGGCTTATGAGCGGCACCTTCACTTGCTGGAGAGTTTGTGGGGCAGGTAAAGACACTAGAAGATAGAGAAAGGAAAAGTGTTCATGGAATGCAGAGGCATTCAGTAGGACAAAAATTTAGCATTGAGTACACTGTAGATATGTAGCTGCCACACTTTGGGACAACTTCTCCTCCCATATTTATTTCTAGGGAAACCTAGGTGCAGCCCAATACATTTTGCTGTTTGAGGCAAAATATCAAATTCCCTCCCTCTGAGATTCCACGAACAATACTGGTGTTTTCTTTAACACAGGCAGTGGGACAGAATCCTCCACTGCACTTGAGGGTACTGGGCTAGTTTGAGAGCGCAGGCAGATCACATGACGCCTACAGTTCTGACTGCTCCACACCCTTCACCACCTGAGTCACCAGTACCACTCTGCCTAATGGTAGGATTGGCCCGGGGGGGGGGGGAGAATGTTCATTTTGCAATTCTTTTTAAAAAATCCTCATGGAGATTCACCAGCATTTTAGTGCAAATTTCATTCTGGTATGCATTTTTCTATGTTACTTTTGTGAGGGAAATGGATGGAGTACACACGTGCATTCAACCACCTAACGGCATCCACGTCGCCCAGGTGATCACAGCAACAGAGATAAGAAAAGAAGAGTTGTTCTGTTGTCTGGAGAGGTCACTTCCTGGTTTGCATGGAGAAACCGTTTTCAACAGAGCCCAGTGACGGAAGTGCACAGATGTATTGAGGCAGCGTTGGATGTTGAAATGTTGTGTCCCTAACAATTTTGTGCCCAGGGCAACCACCCCTGTGGACCCTCCCCCCAATGCCATGCCCCGGAGCTGTTCATTTGAATGAGTCACAGAGTCTGAAAAAGTGCTACAAAGAGAACCCCTCACCTCCAGTTTGAATATCTCCCCATCCAGTTACCCAGCAGTGTTCTTCTGAAGAGAAGCTTGTAGAGGACTCTGGCAGGCGGATGGGAAGGATGTAGTCAGTGAAACTCACAGGCGACTTCAGCTTGATTAAAGCAATATCTGCTGTGTGGTCAATACTGCCATTGTAGTCAGGATGGAGGATAATCTGTTCTGCAGCAGATGCTACAGCATTATCAGAGAGGTTTGAGAGCTGATGGGCACCTAGGAGGACATTGTATCGGAACCTGGGCCCCGTTCTGTGAATACAAGGGCAAAAGATTTGGCTGACATTTGATTTCCTGCGGCTCACCCTAACCGTATACTCCACAAAGAGCTACAATTCCAAGAGTTCAATTCCCTGGGAAGAAGGATGGATTTTGAAACCATTCTGAGAACAGTAGTTCTGTGTGAGGAGCAGGACTTTGCGTGGACAGGCGGAGTCCCCAGATCCCGCGCGGTCCCCCCGTCATGTGGAATAACGACTCATGACAACATGCTATGGGATTAAATTGGCCACAACTTTATTAAATTTCAAATGTGGGTAGACCTTGGCTCAGGCATTGGGCGTTCTCCCTCCCCAGTCCCCAGCCGGGGACCTAGGGAGCTTCAGGGTTATCCAGTGTATGTGGGGGGGATGGGCCGGCTCTGGAGAACATATGTTCAAGCAGAGATAGCTGCCCCTGTTACGCCGCCGCCGCAGGGGAGAGCAATGACGACCTTTCGGCGTACGGTCAAAGCCTCCCTTCAGAAACCCCTTTAACGGGGAACCCTGGTATCGCCGCCGCAAAGAGGAAGATGGACTAAAGGATTCCGCCCAAGGCCTGATACCGCCAAAGTTGTGACGTTTTGCTACGGGAAAGGCGAAACCTGCCAGTGCAGGGAAATTCCTTTCCGGCCCTTTAACAGCGACCTTAACGTAGCAGCGCCCGCATACCTGTGAAGAAAAGTTAACCTGCAAATAAGACATTAACTGAGGGTGGGTGGGGTGGGAGAAGCTCTGGAGCCAAGTGAGGATTCCCAGGTAAGATCCTCCCTCTATTGTGTGGGCAGGTAATCCCTCCCCTCCCTGGCCTGGTCTCCTTGGCAACGCTTCCCCTAGGTGGGATTGGACAACTGACCGAGGTAGGCGGAGACCTCCAGGTATCCCACCTGAGGGAAGGCAAAGCCAAGCCTATGCTGATGGGGCCGCTCCAGATCTAGGGGCTGCGCGCGTCCATGCAAAGGGCGCCCCCCGTTTTAAGCAGGGAGCGGTCATTCTTCACAGCTCTCTGCAAACTTCAGTCCCCAGGTTTCTGTGGGGGAAGCCATGGCTGTTTAAAGTGGTATGATAGTGTTTTAAGTGTCTGGTGCAGCTGAGGCCTAAGACACCAGGAAGCTGACTGGTAGGCAGCTGAAATTAGTCTGGCCTTGTATGGTGAAGCTTTATAATGGCTGCAAAGCAATACATACTGTATGATACTCACCCATAGAAGAAGCAGTGAGCTGCTGTCAGGACCCACTGCTCGGCTATGAGGGAGCCTCCACAAACAGGATAAGAAAACAGCGAAATGCTGACTTGCCAGGGCCATGACCCATCAGAGGCTGGTTGGCCCCCAACTATTTTTGGAGCATTTATCGGCTGCCCACTCTCTGTGGAAGAGGAAATAAGAGGATTTGCCATTACGGTTTGCAGCACACACATAATGGAAGTAATGTAGCAGAAGAGGTGGAAAACACGAAGAAACAAAATTAATTTACAAGTAGGTTTTTTGCAGATTTTAAAACCATATTTCTTGTCATTGATTCTCTTGGGTTTAATGGGCATTTCATCTGGTAAGTGAAATTGACTTTTTTATTTCTTGGCACATTTACAGCAGTTTAATTTCTGCAGTGCAAAATTAGGAAAAGGGTGAAGTTTGAAGTATGGTTGTATTTTGCTTCACATATACTGCTTACTGCTTGAGAAAGTGCAAACTAGGCTTTTAATTACCTTTAAATGTGAACCGAATTAAAATTCTCATCCATCCTTACTCATATATGTGGTAGTGGAATCCATGAGTCCTGGACTCTTAGCTCTCAGTTTTGGCATCCCTTTTTCCCATACGTCTTCCATCACCATAGCTAGAAGTAGAACCATGTAAAACCCTGGGGTTTTTGGTTTCCATGGGTCAGAGATTAAGATGGCAAGAGTCATTTTAAGATTCTTCATGTGAGATGCTTGATGGGTGGGCCTTTCTTCCACAGCTTAGTGGGCAAAGGAATTGAGACTGTTACCTTTGTAAAGTAGAGCACATTCCAGCCACGCAAAAGTCCAGAGGCTTCTGCATCCCCTCACTGACATCTCTCCATCCAGATAAGAAAAAGGTAGCACAGTTGAAGGACACATTCCAAGCAGGCAGAAGAGCCCAAGGACAGCATGAATGGCTGGCTGGTGAGGGTGGGTCACATGGGGAAAGTAGTGTGGTCTTTGGAGGGGGCATGAACTGAGGAGAATCTTGAGGACTTGAATATTTCCTCCACCCTGGCATTACAGCGTGCAGCTTGGCACCATGGCTTAAGGAAGTTGGACACCTAAAACCAATTCTTAATGAAGACCATGCAATCACATCTAGAATGCGGCGCCTTGTTTGCTCTACTCTTTACTTGGGGTGTGGAAACATCAGCTTGTTGTGGGTTTATCTTCCTCATATCAATGCGACATATTAAGAAGTATCCTGTCTAAGGTGAGGATGTTGGATTACAAGACCTCTGGTTTTTAGGAGGCCTTTTCTTTAGTTTCCTCCACAGAGATTCCTGTGAAAAACTCCTTCCAATGTACTGAACGACTCTTACCTGCTTTTGAGCTTGTAGCACCTGAGGAAAATAAAGAAAGAAGATACCCCAGGTAAGAGTCATTGTAGAAGAATGACACAGTGTAGGATTGTATGTATGAACAAGGGGGAAGGGAACTTGTTTACACTGGCCCACTTCAGACAAACATGTCTCGATTCAACAAGCCAAGGTATGCACAAATTCTTGCTTGAGAACAGAGCCCCTTCACTCCTCTCTTTGGGCATGCCACACTCAAAGCAAGAAGCCTCTAGTTAACTAATATTCCATGTTCTGAGAATCAGGTTAGTATCGTTAATCACTTTTAAACAAACCAGGTTATAAAAAAGTGGGTTGATAGTGGTTTAATTGCCTGGCTATCTCTGAATTTGGTAACCATAGTTCCCTGGTTTGGACAAAACATGAAACATGAAGATTCCTTAGAAGCTTCCTACTTTAATCACAGCTTGCGGTGAGGGGAGGAGCAAATAGACTGTGTCGGGTGGGCAAAAGGCATCATGTGCATATGTCAGCGAATGTAGCCAATCTTTTCCCAATTGGTTGAAAAATTAAGACCTTTGACAATTGTGCCAAGAGTTCATTCTGAAACATGGTTCTCAGGGGATGTATTCAGATGTATTCAGAACCACATTTAAACCTGGGCTCATCAGTACTTTAGCTCTTTTAATGTTATGGCATATACCCTGGAACTATCTAAGTTGGGAAGAACAGACGTCCTAAGGAAAAGTGGGACATTCCAGGATCAAATCAGAAACTGGTATAGCTTCTGTAAATCTGGGACTGTCCCTGGAAAAATATGGGCACAGAGAAGGTATGATTTCCCAGGAGCCCTCACAACTTTCAACCCTGGAGTAACTGTTCTCCAAGCACTTCCCCAACTCCATCAATCACCTTGTAGCATGGTCAGCTGTAGAAGCCACACTGTCAATGCGGAAGTAACAATTGGCATTGCTGTCCTTCTGAAGTATTCTCTGAGTGGTTCAGCTCCAGTCAGTTCCAGACAACAGATGTTTTATTTCAATCTGACTGTCCTCTAGGAGCTGTACTATTAAAACACAATATCAGCAATGAAAAGGTAGTGCTCCTGTCATTGGCCTGTCTGTTGCTGAGTCTGGAGAAGCAGCACAGAAGCCCCAAGTCCCTGCAATCTCTGGATCCCAGAAGCAGCAGCATCCCAAATCTCTGCCAACATCTGAGAATGCACACAGGTGGAGGCAAGGCATGTATACACTTTCCCCATTGATATCCACATCTGAACCAGCTCCCCGCTTGTTTGGAATAGGGAGAAGGGGGAGAAGATGAGACTCTCCAGAAGCCCCACCCACCTTTTATCTTTCACATTAAGTCCACAAACATGGAAATGAAGGTGGAGACCTCCTTCTTCATACTTGCCACCAGCTATGGTCACTTACAGACAACCTGTTTGTGGATAAATAGTCCTAATTCTTTTAGCTAGGAAGTTAGACAGCATGGTGAGAAGCAAATGTCATCCCACACTTTCTAGTGCATTTCCTTTCATTCTCCTTATCACAAAAACATCCAGTTTTGGAGGGAGTGGGTTTATTATGGACAACCTGAATGTGCTGCTTATGCAATTGAATCCAGCTTGCAAAATAACAATCATCCGTCTTGAGAGACAGCACAGGACCCCTATCCACACTGCCACGGCTTGCGCTCCAGGGAGGTCACTTTGGTGCTGCTATTGCAGTGGATTGACTTCAGGCCTGGAGGCACACTTCATTGTCTCTGGAGACAGACGGGTGCCAACAATCTGCTTATGTATTTATTACTGCTAGATTGTACTCTCTATAAAGATTTGAGGAGTGAGGTTATTACCCCTCTACTACTACCCAAACCAGGATGTTCAAGCACTGCTACTGTGTCTTTCTTCTGGTAGATCAAGATAACCAGGTGACAGCAAAAACTGCAAAATTTTTAGCAGGGGCAATTAAAATAAAATCTATTATTTGATTAACTTTCTAATATTCCTCAGCTTAGGGGAAAAAAATAAAAATAAAGCCTATTGGCTCACATGTTTTATCTGTGGTTAAAGGATCATGTATCAGTTCTGTCATTTGTATTGATGTAGACCTCCAGAATGTATTTTGTATACCTAACTATTTAGTTCTATCCCCAGTATATTTTTTCTTATTGCTATGGCTAGTGGCTAATGCAAATAAAGTTTCCATCTATGCATGCTTTTATTACAGTTCTTTTAAAAGGAACCAGGGCAGCAAACACCCAAATGTAACAACAATGTTAATACAGTATAATGAAAATACAATACGATTAAAAAAATAAAGTAAATACATAGTAAATGTTAAGAACAATGTAAAACATTTAAAAGGATCTAAAAACAACGAATAAACGTCTAAAACATTTAAAAGACAAATGCATATCATCACAGCTCCTAATTTCATGATTGCCAGGAACAATATATTTCAGCCATCCAGTACTGGGTCTTGCCATTTAACCCAAATTGTGCTCCTACGCTCACCCTCTGTAGGTAATTGCAGCTTCAAGGCACTGTGGATTTGGATCTGGGGAATCAGTTTGGGAGGAAATTATGCATGGAGAGACATGCATGGAGCCATAGATCTCCTACGTAGCATCTGGTTTGGCCCTCTCACATGACTCTGCCATTGCGTTTCAAATATACAAACATCCTTTCCTAGTATTTATCATTCTTACCTAGCTTTTTCAGAGCTGGCCAGAAAAGACTCTGTACTTCTAGCAGAAGCAGTTAGTTTTAGAGGGAAGGAGAGATCACCCTTTTTAAATGCACCAAGTGCATTCTTCATATGAAGTAGCACTATGTTCCGTCATTCAAAACAAACATATTAGTTTCCTGGTTCCCCCTCTTTCTTTGTCACACACATGCCGTAAAGGGTGTGACTTTGTATGCAAAGTGAGAAGGTTGCAACAGTAGAGTTGATTCCAAGAGAGCAGAGACAGACCATAGAGAAGGAAATGTCTAAAGCAACCCATACAGGCCATAACTGGGCTGAATATCAGGTGAGATTGACTGTTAGTCATACTCAATGTGAATCCATTGAAATCACAAAAAGGTCTGAAAACGAGACCCTGCTTGTTCTCCTGGACTTCTTTGGTGGCTTTCAATACCATGACTGGCCCAGGACATATTGCAGCCTGAGGGAAAGGAGAAGATGGTACCTTATCCCATGGGCAGAAACCAACTGGACAGACACTTGAATCTTACTCAACAACGGTGATGGGAAAGTATACTTCACTTTTTACAAGGGCAGCAGGCTAGCTTAGGAGGTGTAGGCAGTGCTTTATTGATAAAAGTGCCATGGCTGTGTATGGGAAATGCACCTGGAAGACAAAATGTATCTAGGAGTTATTGGTCTGACATGGAGCTCTTTCGGCCTCTGTTCCACCACCCCCATGGAATGTCAATATGAATGTTTTGAGAACAGTCTTAAATGTTTTGGGAACACTGGGAGGAGGTGAAGCCCCCCACAGCTGCCTTATCAGTTGTGGAGGATGGTGCTACTGGAGGTTACCACCCACACACTTCTGCTGCGCCTTCTGCTTGTGTGGTGGCACCTCAGCAAAAAATCATCTTACTGTTTACAGCAGAGTATTTCCCTGGTGGCAGATGACAAGAACAGTAGTCATAGTCAAAGTCCTTAGCCAAGAGCTTCTTTATTGCTTGACTGGTTGCACAAGAATTTCTATTACAAATATATACAAACTATTTAGTAAGGTAAAGGTAGCCCTGACCATTAGGTCCAGTCGTGGCCGACTCTGGGGTTGCTGCGCTCATCTCGCTTTATTGGCTGAGGGAGCCGGCGTGCAGCTTCCAGGTCATGTGGCCAGCATGACTAAGCTGCTTCTGGCGAACCAGAGCAGTGCACGGAAACACCGTTTACTTTTCTGCCAGAGTGGTACCTATTTATCTATTTGCACTGCATGTTTTCGAACTGCTAGGTTGGCAGGAACAAACTATTTACATGCCCTCTATATCTCTCCAGCACAGTATATACTCAGTGTGTGTGTGTGCTTTCTTCGTGCCTCAAATGGCAAACTCATAGCTCCTTCTTTTAACTGCATCTTCAGCTGACTCCAATTAAGTGGGCACTCCCACACATTGAAGAAACTTCTGGAATGCTTTTTAAAGTTTAAAGGAACCTTAGCTGTTTCTTTAAAGAATGCATTCCTAACATGTGCTGGGTACCTTCTTTCATGTTTGACATGTTTTGAGAAAGTGAGGCATTGGGAGGGGGTGGCTAATGGACGATTTGTACGTCGCTAGTCTTGGAAGCCACACAGGCTGTATATAAAATCGGACAGTTTGGGCAGAGTTTCATGCATGGACTGATCGGGCCATGCAAACTGAGACTACCTGAGGGGAGTAGCTTTGACGCTGATTGAGGGCTTCCAGGTGGCAGATTGAAGTGCTTGCTTGGTATGTATACATTGCTTGCTGTTTTAGAATAAAATCTTTAATCTTCTCACTCACTTGTGTATTTTGTATTGCTTCTGAATATCATTTTAAAAGAACCACCTTGCATTTGGCAAGACAGGCTGCCAGCACAAAATGGCTGCCATGGGCAGTAAGGAAATGGGATAATAATAATAATAATAATAATAATAATAATAATAATAATAATTGGATGGGAAGGTTCACTATACCAGTGAATAGTGTCACAAAAAAGCACTTGGTGTAGGACCAGGGCTTTTTTTGCAGCTGAAACTCACAAAAACTCAGTTCTGGCACCTCTCAGGTGTGCACCATTGCTATTAAAAGAGAACAAGGGAGGAGTTTGTGGTGAGTTTCAGCACCTCCTTTTCTAGAAAAATAGCACAGGGTAGGACAGAAAATAAAGCATGCACAGCAGTGGGGGCTGGGGACTAGTGGGATAGGAGCAGGGAGCCCAAACAGTCTGTGGAGCCTGAGTTAATGACTAACAGAGCCAACTAATTCTAAAATGGTCCCCTGCTCCCTGCTGAGTTCTAGAAGAGCAAGAGGAAGCTGACAGCCAGTGGCACCCCATGGACTGGTTGGAAGTAAGATATGTGGGCTTGCTGAGGTCAGATTGAGGTTGGTGGGGCAATGGCCCGTTCGGCCTAATGGACTAGCATCCACTGAGCTCTAGTCACTCCACACCCCTCGGCACCTGCCACCTGAACTGGCCATCTTACTCTGCCATGAGGACTTATTCCCAGGTAAGTCAAAGTAGGATTGCAGTGTTATTCAACTAAGAGAAAGAATACACATGCACACAGCTTACACTGTGCAGAACAACTACTGTAATAGCCTTTCTTTGGTGCTGACTATTAGCTGTATTTGCATAGGTTTTTTGAGTGAGTAAATATGCATAAATAAATAATCAGCTTCAGCAACACTGGACAAAAGCTTAATTGATACTTTTGTACTGTATACTCAGTATGGCAAACAGGAAGAAAAATAAATCTAGTCTCTGTTTGGTAGAGCAAAGAAATTGAAAGGAGGATAATTCTGCACTTACGGTTCACTTCAGTACATGACTGAACCCTACTTTTCTACAGGAGTATCCAAATCAGTAACTCAATTAAAGGGCAGCATCAAAATTTAACAAATCAATCAATAATTAGAGGATTCCTCAAGGGTGCAGAAATATATTGATTGATTTGACCCTTCATGGAAAGGTCCCACGATGGCTTACAACAATACAGAGATACAATGTTAAAGTCATTTAAAGCAATTAACAATCAGAAGAGCAAGGTGGGTCCTGAAAATATATTTAGGTATCAGAGGCCAGGACAAAGAGATACGTCTTTAGTGTATGAATTGTATGTGCAAATTGTGAACTTGGTGGCATCAAGCCTATCAGTGAAATAGACCAACCACAGACAAAGTAGGGATTTTCACATACTTCCGAGATTCCCCCACTAAGCAAATAATTGTAAGCATATGAAAATAAAAAGGTAGTATACCCCACCCCGAAGCAAAACAGCCACTTACTTTCTTTCCCATTCTCCTTTCCTTCTCTTGTCATTTCTCTCTCAACAATTGATACTCAACTTTATTGCAAGGGCTGGTAATATGCCCACTTGCCAGACCAACAGAAAAGCGTACGCCACAAACAACTGAGATCAATCACACAGGAATGGATTCGGTGTGTAATATACAATGTATAGGAAATAGTAAAATACAAATATGCTTCATTTTTCTTTTTATTTACATTAATGTGTAATTTTTACAATAAAACCTCAACAAGGAGGAGCTAGGCTTACTGTAACACTGAGAAGAAATCCCAAGGATATCCTTATTTTGAAACAATTACACCCACTCTATACATTTAAAGCGCTCTTCTGCCATTTTAACAGTAATGGAGAATCCTGGGAATCATAGCTTGGTAAGGAAGCTGGGGATTGTAGTTGTGTGGTGTCAGCACCCTTAATAAACTACAGTTCTCTGGGTTCTTGAGGAAGAACCCATATCTGTTAAAGTGATATAAGAGTGCCTCAAACATGTGGTGTTGATGTGCCCAGAAAACTACTCAGTCTCCATTTCCCAATGAATTTATCAGTCTTCTTTCTGGAGAAGCATCTTGAAAGTGTCAATTTACTCCTTCAGGTGATGTTCCACATTCTCCTAAACTGTGGATTCCCAAACTGTGGCCTGTGGACCACCAATGGGCTATGAGATATATTGAATGCTCTCTAGAGTATGAAGTAGAAAGTGCCAAAAGAAGGTACTTCCTCAAAAGTATGTGTGTGCACCCCCCCCACAGAAAGTTGGTCCAATTGCTCATTTTAATAATCCTGGGTATTTCTGGGTACTTCTTTCAACAGGTTCAGCAAAGCAAAATATACAGCAACTATATATACAGAGTAATAGCAAGAAAATATTCACAAATATTTATAAATACCATATAACAATTCTTTGATCAAGTACAAACAAGCAGAAGTATAAAATTATATGAATTAACATTATAATATTGAACTGAAGATAAATTACAACCCCGCTATTCTGGGCACCATATTTCTTTGCGGCTTCTTACCACATCGTTTAACTCTTTCAACAGATTAAAAGAATATTGATCTTTGCATCCAAAAGGTCTTAGGTTCAATCAGGGGTGGAAGAAGGGGTGTGTGGTGGGGGTGGGTCACCCCGGGTGTCAACACTGTGTGTGTGTGTGTGTGTGTGTGTGTGACAAAATGCCAGGCGGCACTCACCACGGGGCCTGCAGCGTGCCTAAGCCACATGTCTCTCCTGGGAGTGACGTGGTGGGTTGGGCGCCCTCAGGTTCCATGCTGCCCCAAATGGTCCACCCGCCGCCTCCCCCTCAGCTGTAGGGCGGCAGATTCCTCAGAGGTGCCATGGAGCGTCCTGCCCTGGCTGGCCCCGCCCCGTGGGCAGCTGACCCCACCCCCACGTGTGGTGGCCCTGCCTCTGGGCGCAGAGCACGCATGCCACCCCAGTCGCCTGATTGGCTTGCTCCACCACTGGGTTCAATTCCCAGCATCTCCCAGTAGGGCTGGGAAAGGCTCCTGTCAGAACCTTGGAGAGCTACTGCCAGGCAAGGGTATAAAATCCTAAACTAGATGAACTGACAGTCTGTCTTGCTATAAGGCAGTGAGTGGCCTGTGTTCCTGTTGCGTCCCCAAACCAGAACCCTTGGTTGAATAAATTGTCAGAGCATATAGGACTTAAATCACTACTGATCAGTAAAGCAATTTAAATGCATCTGTGCCCAAATTCTGAACAAATTCCACATAACCCATCAGTAGATGGGCAGAAGGCAGAGAGAGGAGCATCTCATAGAAGGGTCAATGTAAAAAACACTAGGAGGAGTGTCACAACAGCGGAATTCTGTTCTCTGCCATTCACCTCACTTTTCCCACTTGTAGTCCCACCCTTTCCACACACCGCAAAGGTCATATTGGGTATATGCTGGGAGATCCAAGTGGCATAAAAAGGGGTTGAAGAATAGACACCAGGGAGACCAGGGCGGCCACAGCCTATCCCCCAGCTCACAACCCCAGCCAGGACCCAATGTCCATCACATGGGCAAGATAAGGGTCCCCCGGAGTCACCCTGTGGAGAGAGAGATAGCAGTCAGTCCACAGTTACAGGAAGCTTCCTGAGAGCGGGTTTTGGAGACTGGTTTCAAAACAGATTATGCTTATTTCCTTTACAGATCTGGTCTTGTCCTCATGTATAGTTCAGGAACCATCTCCCAGCTAGACTAAGGTAATGGAGAAATGGCTAAGGTATGGAGGAGAAACTATGAATAAGGCTGAAACGACCAAATTTGAATTTCCCAAAACAATATGGGAACTGAAACATAGCTATCTATTGAAATTCGCACATATCTGAATTTTGTGATTCAGTTCTCCAACTAAACAATGTTAACAAAGATGCATATATTATTAAAATATTGCTTGCACAGACATGTATATTTGTCAAAACGGCAAATGAAATTGTGTTTATTGGGAGAAATTCACACTAAAATGCTGAAAGCCGAAATTGACAGATCCTTCTATCCCTGGTCCAGACTTTCAGTTTCAGTTTAATGAATATATAATGCAGCCCTGTAAAGAAGTCTTCCAATGTTACTGGCCTGCAAAAATGTATGTTAGCTTGCTGTGGGCCTGCAAAAATGTATGCTTGCTGTGGGCCAGGAGAGGAGAGACAAACAGCTCAGTCCTTATCGCAGCAGCCCACTGTATTTTAATGCAGGGCCTGGAGCGTGGAAATTGCCTCCTCCAGCAGACCTCTTGGCTTCTATGGTGGATACAGATTAGAGATGGAGCACCCTCTCTCTCCTCTGCCAGCCTGCTCACTAGCTTGCATGTAATGCCTTGCCACCTATGTCTACTACCCCACTGCTAAAATACAAGGCTGACATATTGCATTTTCATGTCAGGTCTATTTAAGTAGGCCTGTACTCATCTTCTGAGAAGGCTACATTTCTGAACTGCTGGCCCTGTGAATAAAACCAAGACAAAGGATGGAAAAATCTGTGGCCTCCCAGCTGTTGTTGGACTCCAACTTCCATCAGCCCCAGCCAGCAGAGCCAATGATCAGGGGGGATGACAATGTCTGGAGGGCCACAGGTTCTCCATACCTGAGCTAGACCTTTGGAGCCTGTCCCCTCCTTTTCTGGGGTGCTCCTGCCCACCACAGCCAACCACACTTATGGAGCATCCTACCTGGCAGGAATCTTTGCCTCCTTCTTGGTAGCCAGCACAGATCATACCAGGGCCGACCGGATTATGGAGTTGTGGTTCATGCTGGGTAGCGTTGAAGAGAGAATTGCATTTTTCTCGGTCTATGAGTGGCACTTTCACTTCCTGGAGGGTTAGTGGGGGTGGCAATTCCACTGTAAGAGGAAGCAAATGTATCATTAGGGATGTGATCAGGTGGATAGCCACCCATCCCAATTATATCTCTTATCCCAATGTATACTCTAATAGCTGCCTATTTTACATTGTCCATTCTGCATTTAATATAGACGGAGGAAGGCAAAAGCAAATAGTGACTGCGTCCATCTCCCCTGACCACTGGTTTCTGAGATATCGCAAAGCACTGCCCAGACATGTGCGAAACTTTACAGCATACAGAGAAAGAAATCTGCATTTTAACATCAATTCCTGATAAAAAACCAGGCACAATAATAAGGTATGATTAAGTGGCCAGCTGATTGCCTTTTCCTTCCGCTCTGCTTATAGAATTGTATAAGAGGGTTCACTTTCACCATCTACTGGTGAGAAAAGTGGTAGCACTGTTAGCTTCCAGACTGTTGTGAAACTCTAACTTGGAGAACAAGGAACCTGTGACCCTCTGGAAGCTGTTCGACTACAACTTCCACCATCCCCTACCCTTGGCTCCATCCATTTTCCAAAGGGAGAAGGTGTGCTGGAAAGTTGCATGCTTGGATTTCAAACCTTGCCTCCTCATATGTCCTATTCATTTGTAGTTACTTTGTGGTTAATAAAAGCAGCAATGAGTCTTGAAGCACCTTAATGACTATCACATTTATTATGGCATAAGCTTCTGTGGACAATTCCACAAAAGCTTATGCCATAAATATATTTGCTAGTTTTCAAAGTGCTGCACTTCTCTCTCTCTCTCTCTCTCTCTCTCTCTCTCTCTCTCTGTGTGTGTGTGTGTGTGTGTTTGCTGCAACAAAGTAACATGATTATACTATCAAAAGGCACTCTGTCTCACAGACATTCTGTCTCACAGACATTCTTTCTAATGCATGGGTCTGAAGGCCATTTTTCTACCATTACAAGGCAGCCCAGAAGTTGAGCTCTGGCCTGGCCTGGCTCAAATTCAGGCCTGTAGATACCATCTCACTGCTGCAATGACATACCCTCCAACATGTTGAGTCCTAAAACCGGGATACGTGTCTTCCCAGCTGTGCTCCTGTGTAAGTCACGTGACCTGCGTGAGATCACAGAGCCCAAAATACATACTTTTTTTGGGCCTGTGCTGTCACACAATAGCCTGACACCCCAAAATGCATGTTTTGGGGCACTGCATGATATTACAGACCTGAAAAAGCACTTCTGTCCAGGAGAGATCATGGCACGAAATCGTGCAAGATTACGGAACCCAAAATGTGCTCTCACAGGACAAAACAGGAAGTACTGGTTTTTCCCAGGACACTTGTCGGGTATGTAATGGCTGCACCAGATAACATAGTGGTAGTTGGTGTGAGTTGCATTCTCGGATTAGTTCCCTTTACTGCCTTCCTGTTTACTCTCAGGTCCAGCAAAAACTCTTTGTCTTCAAAGTAATCCATGGTCTTGTTTTCCTGCTTTTGATGTTTCTCTCCTCATACCCAGCCTGAGGCCCTAACTATTCATGGTTTGCAGGTATTTATAACTCTTAGGGGTAGGATCTTTTTACAGTGGCCCCTTGTCTCTGCAATACTTTACCATCTAAGATCCATTAGGCCTCAGCACTGGGCTGATTGGAGGTTGTGATGCTTTCCAGATGTTGTGGAATATAACTCCCATCAGCCCAATACATTATTGTCCATGGTCAGGGATGATGGGAATTACAGTGGACAACTTCTGGAAGGCACCTCCTTGGCTACTCCAGGCTGCAAATCATACCCGCCTCTATCCTCCAGCATTTCAACCGCATCATCCAGCATCTTCCACCTGAGCCAGATTGCCCTATAAAAGTGCAGTGTACATTGCTGGCATGAAAGTAAACAGAGCTTGAAGGAGAACCTTGCTTGAAGGAGCACTTCTCCATCTCCTCACCTCCAGGTTGAATATCTCCCCATCCAGTCACATAGCAGCTTTCTTCCACTGAGAACTTTGCAGAGGTCTCTGGCAAGCAGATGGGAAGAATGTACTTGGTGAAACTCACAGGGGACTTCAGCTCTACTAAAGCAATATCCCCTCTGGAGCTATCACTGTCATAGGCGGGATGGAGGATAATCTGTTGGATATCAGATGTTACTGTTTTACTTGAAGTGTTCAGGAGCTGATAGGCACCCAGCACCACATCAGAATGGGTAGTTTGGCTCTTGATGCTGTAAGTGAAAAAAACAAGAGCAAAATGCATCAAGATCTTTGCTAAACTGGTCTCCAAGAGGTGAGTGCCCTTAGACCTTGTAATTCAGTCTCATGTCAACATGTCTAGTTTAAAGGGGAGACTAGGGCCATAGCAACCCAGTGGAGCAAAGGTCATAGCTCTTTCCAAGCAGAGGACCCCAGGTTGACCCCTCCATGTCTCCGGACAAGTCATTAGCACCCATTCATTTTTGCTTTCCCTCTGGGTTTTTTTAAATTGTGCATAAGCATAAGTCCTTGCCATTTCTTGCAACCAGGCTATAGGGCAGGGATGGGGAACCTTTGGCCCTCCAGATGCTGGACTTAAACTCACAACATCTCTGGCCACTGACCACATGGGATGGGGCTGATGGGAGTAGGAGCCCAACAATATCTGCAGGGCCATTGGTTTACATCCCTGACCATTGGCAAGTCACCTTGTTCTCTTTACCTCCAAGAGGGAGCTACTGGCATAATTTCTGATGTGTTTTGTTATTTCAGTGCCCTCCCAAATCAGGTGGTCAGCAGATATCAGATGACACTATAGTACAAAAGTGGAGATAAGCACCACACCCCATAGTCAAATTTGACTGGATTTAACCGTCCAGGGTTCCTTTACCTTAATGGCATTCAACTTGAGCCTATAAAGTTTGTGTTTTGAGTTTGGTTCTGGAGTTTGAACAATTTACTGCTCAGGCATAGACAGAACTATGCTTGTCAGTGCACGCTTGTCTCCATTTGCATGTTTTAAAATATGCAATATGCATTCAGAGCTACATGGCTTGAATGTAGCCTACTGTACAAAGGTGAAAGCTGCTGCTGTTGCTCCATTGACATTCATCTCTGGCCCCAACCACCTCCAGGCTGAAAAAGATCCCCCAGCCCCAATCTATACCTTCTGCCAGCTATCTGCTTCCTTTAACTTTATTATTCATTGCTCTGTCAGGCTCTGCTTTGGCAAGGCCAAGGCACTGAGTAGCTGTTAGGCCAGCCATGGGCAGTCATTCTGGGCCAATGGGCACATTGGGAACGTTGAGGAAGTGCTTGGGTGCTAGTCACAAAATGGCTGCTCTGGGCTGTGAGGTACAAAACAAAATGGCCACCACATCTATAAGAGACAGGAGATGTTATTTGCTGAGACATTTTGTGGATGCCATAAGGCGTACTGGCAGGGACACTGGTGCCTGTGGGTGTCACACTGATGCCCTCTGTGTTAGGCATATAATATTAGTTTGGCCTTGTAGCTGCCTCTAGGGTGAAACTGAATGATGCCTTCACGGCCAAGTACACCAGAAACTTACTTAGGGAAGCAGTGAGCTGCTGACAGGACCCACTTCTCGGCTATGAGGGCGCCTCCACAAATAGGTTGGTCCCGATATAAAATGCTGACTTGCCAGGGCCATGACAACCCATCAGAGGGAGCTGGTTCACCCCCTATAATTCGTTGAGCTGGCTTCCCACAAACTGTGGAAGAAGGAAAGAGGGTTTAAAAAGATAAGTCACAATAACACCAGCACTGAAGCACATACAGAAACAAACATAAAAAGCTTTGCCTGAAACAAAAAAACAAATATTTGTATGCAACCTTTTAAAGAACATTTCCAGTTATTGATAATGGTTTCCAGTCAATCATATTTAGAGCCATAATGCCTCTCACTGCAGCAAGGCTGCTCACCATATATTGAAGCAATTGAAGCAATATTCAGTTTATTTATTTATTAAGTATATTTCTAAATCCACTTGGAGGCTCATGTTTAACAAGAGGTCTGCATGATCATTAGGTTTATAGCAGCCCTACATTTTGATGAGACTCCCCTTTGGTTCAGCCCATCCATGAGCCTGTGAAATTGTTGAGTAGGAAAAACAAAATATACAGGGGTTCCTACCTGCTTCAGAGCTGGCAGCATCTGTAGAAAACAAAAATGAAGGGAAAACATTTCAGTTTTTCATATAAGAGACACTGAAGAACAAATACTGAAAAACAGGTGCCTATGTAGGAGAAAGAGGAAGAGGCCCAGGTTACAATCTGTTACCAATGTATTATTTTAAAAAAAGAATACAGCTCTATATTGTGACACATATGTTATGAGTATATTTTCCTAGCCAAATTGGTAGAGCTTATTACAGGGCTTAATTTGAACAGAGACTCATTGGGACTTTAGTTCTGGAGCATGCTTCTAACACCAAGACTCTATCCTGAAGCATGTTAAGTATTTTATGTAAGTAAGTATGGTAAGTAAGTAAGTAAGTAAGTGTTTTGTATAGTTATCAAATGTCAGCCTCATACAAAAAAAGGGGGCAATAGCACTCAACACATTTACCTGAGGTCCCACCTTCCAGCCCACCATTTTCCTCTGTGTCACAGGACTAAATCTGATCTGCTTCCTCAGCTGCAGTGGAAGGGTGTGAACCTATGGCCAGTGTTGAAATAAAATTTGGCTGCCAGTTCAGTTGGTTTCTTTATGTGGAATAAGGAGGCGGCACCATCTTGTTCTTTGCCTCAGGTGGTTACATGTCTTGGGCCAACCTTGGGCCCAGTGAAGGCTAATTGTCTGTTACCAAGTACTACCATGAGCCAAAAAAAAAACCTTCCACACACATACACACATCAAGTCAGTTGTAACACAGTGAAAGATGATCCAGAACAACTAGAACATTAATGAAAACAGAGACTTGGAGTTCAAATCCTGCTAGTCCAACTTGTCAAAGAGAAAGAGCCATAAGTAAGCCAAATGAGCACACCTTAGAGTACAAGGGGGTGGGGGAGTGAGGACCAGCTTTGGTTAAGCAATCCTGTCATTTTTCAACCAAGAATCGCTATCCAGGTTCACTAGTAATGCTAAACTAGTTAAGCCAACATCAAACCACAGTTTGCTAACAAACCCTAGTTAACAAACCATAGTTGAACATTACATGAGAACAAGGCCACTATCTGCTGACATACATTTGTCTCCCTAGCGGAAAGGAATATGAGTTCCACTTGAAAGGCCAGTGTGTGAGAAACTCCTTTGTTTGCACTTATAAACCATGCATCTCCTTTTTTGGCTTAGTGCTTCTCCTACTCCCATTTTAACTCCCCTGAGAAGTGACTGATTCTCTCATCCTCAATTACCTTCCCTCCATTGTCTCCCCACACCATAGAAGCCAACTCCTAGGGACCAGGGTCCCTTCAGCACCCCCCATAAAATATTTGAGGGGGCCACCTCGCTTCCCAAGTTGATGGGCATTGCCATTCAAATGGTGTCTGTGCACTGAGTCTTGTGACTGATTATGCAGGGTGGGGCTTACCTGGGTCCCCAATATTTTCAAGCTGGCGCCCCTGCCCCACACCATCACTCACCTTGTAGCAGCACAGGCAGTAGAAGCAGCCACACAGCTAATGAGAAGGGCACCATTGACATTGTGGTCGCTGCTTCTGAAGAGCTCTGAAGTGTCCCCTGAGTGGTTCTGCTCCGAGTCCAAGCAACGAATCCTCTACTTCAGTCTCAATTCTTTTGTTATCTGTCCCGCAAAATGTAATATTAATGGCAAAAAAGTATTTTCCCCGAATCCTCTTGGTATCAGCAGGATGGCAAATCCTTGATCTCCCCTTGTATCTGGGATCTTCTATCTTCACCAGCTGTTGTGTTGCTAGACTTGTTGGTAGAGCTCAGGTGACCTTAATAGATGCACAGCATAATGATGATGTTGATGACTTTGTTCCAGTTATCGTTGATTATGATAATACTTATTTAGTGTTATCAATATGCACGACACTTTTACAAAGTGCAAGGCGGCATGTTTCTACCCCATGGAACCTACAGGGCGGCATTCAATCTTATGCTGGCAAATTTAGGTTGTACAATTAAAGTGGATTTGGAGCCCTTGTACAAAGAGCCACTTCCCTCCAAAACCGAGCCTTTTTGCAGTAAGGAATGCGATGGGATAACTTTTTTTCTGGTGGTAAAGAAAGTAACAGGATACAAAAGGCCCTGGGAAGTGTGGGATAACAACTGCTTGATGCAACATCATCTAACCTTCCCAGAAACAAATTTAGAATGAATGCTCAATAAGTAGCTGATGCCATCTAATCTCCTCCTCACAAACTTTGTTCAAATGTATCAGGATGAATGCTCAAATAAACATGTTGCCTCTAAAAGTGAGCTTACCTGGGGAGGAACGTGAACACTGAAAGATTACAAAGCTAGCAACTCACTATAAAACTGTTAATATTCCCAAAGGCAAAAGCTAGAGGCACTGTTTTTTCAAGGGTAGATACAAGGAAAGAGAGTTGCCAGTCTTTTGCTTAAAGCAGAGGATACTGCTTCCCTCCCACAGCTGCAGTAGAGCCCATGATCATATCTTAATACTCCTCTGACCATAAGAGCAATAAAGCTCTATGTAACTGCTTTACAACCCCTTTCTTGGCTGTGGAGCAAGTCTGTGGTTTAATATACAATCTGAAGATGCTGTTTCACCTTTTACAAATAGGTTTTTGGCTCATGCTTTGAAGTGGTAGGAGTTGATTCTGGAAATAGTGCACACATCTGCTAAGCACAACCCTGTTGAAACCTCTTAGACTATCCTTCCATGCCTCTGAAAGTCCTGCTGGGGCAGGTGTGCTGAAGCTTTGGCCAACCAGATGTTGCTGAAAAACAACTTCCACCATCCCTGGCCATTGACTGATGGGAGTTGTAGTTCAGCAGCATTTGGAGGGCCAAAGACTCTCAACTGCTGTGCTAGGGCCTAAGCAGACATTACCTGGGAAACGTGGGATTGGATACCCTTGTGTATATTTAATAAATCCATATAGTAGAGATACATTTGTCCCTCTCCAGCTAAGAGCAGCTTAGGAAGGGAGGAGTGATTTACAAAGGGGTACCACAGAATGTTAGTGTTGGAAGGGACCATGATAGTCATGTAGTCTAACCTAAGGTTACCAGATGTCCCCGTTTCCCGGGAACAGTCCCTGGATTTATAACTCAGTCCCCATACAAAAACCATTGAAGTTGAAAAAAAATCTGGTAACCTTATTCTAACCCCCTACTCCAAAGCATAAAGCAGCTACAGGCTGTCACTCATCCCTGTATGAACCTCTAGCAAAGAACAGCCCGATCCCTCCCAAGGAAGTCTGCTCCACTGTAGAACAGATCTTACTCTTAAGAAGTTGTAATTTCCACCCATTGGTTCTAGGCTTGTCCTCCTCCTCAGCAGAGAACAAATCTGGCCCAACTTCTGCACGTTAACCCTTCAGACATTTGAAGACCACCACCATGGCTCCCCTGAATCTTCTCTTCTCCAGGCTAAACATACCAAGCACTTTCAACCATTCCTCACAGGATTTGGTTTCCAGACATCTCACTATCCTCACTGTTCTCCTCAGGGCACCTGGTGTAGGGGGAAATGGCTGGGCTCCATCTTCCCACCCATGCTGCAGCTGCTTTTAGAAAAAGAAAATGACGTGGGGAGATTGTCAGCTCAACTGTGGAACAACTCTTACTTTGGCCCTTGGTACCATCTCTGAACTCTACCCATCTCTCATCTTCAAATATACAAGCATCCATTGCTGTTCCTACCTGGTTCTTTCTGGGTCCGTTCAATAAGAGTCCCGTATTTGCCGATTTGCTCCTGCTTTTAAAGAGAAAAATCTTCTACACAAAGCTCCGTGATGCATTCTTTCTGTGAGATAGTATTATGTCTTAATCACTCAAAATAAACATATTAGCTTCCTGGTTTCAACAAAGGTTCGATACCATCTTTTGATTTTTAAATTGTTTAAAACAGCTGTCTGTGAAGGATGTGACTCAACTTGCACAGAGTGATGTTTTTGCAAAGGTGGGATTTGAAAAAGAAGAAGAAAAACTAAGGCGGAATGCCTCTGTGTATACACCATGCCTCCCTTCCCTGAAGGGAAACACGTAAAAAAAAAAGAGAGCCCCAAAAGTAGGTTAAATAAATAATCACTTGAGAGTTGAATGGTGTCTACAGAATGTAGATTTTAAATGTGAACTGAATCAAATTCCTTGCCTATTCTGAGTAATAATGCATGTTATATAATGCATCTAGTACTAACCTGCTAGATTCAATACTGTTTACCCCCACAAAACCCCAAATTGAACACTTTCTATAAATACTAATATGGGAAATATGTACTGGGATATTTTATAAGCAAACATTATTCCTTATTATTTTGTTCCTGCTGTAGCTGAAATAGATTGACACACTCTCCATTGAAACTAGGGGTCATGAAGGCCAGAGGTTCCCAAGTCTTCACATGAAAAGAAGAAATCAGCAGATTTTCTGCAGTTTTTATTGCTTGAGGTTCTCAAAGTTCTGAATTGTGCTTGTTGACTTTCATTCAATTGAAATCATTCAATTAAGAGGCAAACATCCATGAGTTAATGGCTGCCCCACACCAAAGTGCATAGTGCCCAGAGCTGGTCAAATTATTTTAGCACTAGAGGTAGAAAATTCCATATTTGGCTTAAGGGTTTTGTTGTTGTTGTTAAAATAATAATAACAACGTAAAAACCTATAATGGTATGGGGTTGCTCGTGCGTAAGTTGCCGCCTCTCCTGGCTATGTTGCCTTGTTAAACCTTTCTGTCTGGACAGCCCTTCAATTCGTGGCTGCCTCAGTCGCTAGCAGAATCCGTCAGTGGGCGTTTCTTAAACCTTTTCCAACATAAAAGTTGTTTGACACCCAGTCTCCTCCTACTTTCTCTGCGCGGAGTCTTCTGCGCAGGGAGGGCGTGGGTAGCGGAGGACCAGTGCTCTCCCCGCTGGTGTCCGGTGAAGAGTCTGGGAGCCCTCTCTCCGATTCCCCATCTGCCCCTCCTTATTCCTGGTGTTGCACTGAATTGCTTCCCCATCTGCTGAGCTGCCTCTCTCCCTGCTGGGCCCTTCTCCAGCATCATTAGAGAGCCTCCCCTCCACCTCTAGCTCCGATGTCAGTTCCCTGACAAAACCCAAAAGTGCCCAAGAGATTTGGGAGGCTTTTACTGTATAACTAAAGATACAATCAAACAACAAGCTGTTATGTCCTTGTCAGCCTTTGAACATAGCAAGGGTCCAGGTGTCACAGTAATGTAAAAATTTTAATAGCCTTAGCCAGAGAGGAATATGTCAGGTTGGAAACAAGCTGGGAGGTTGTTCTACATACCAAGCATGATTTAGCCAGATGGAATAATATGTGGTAAATTCTTCTCTCTGTTTTAGCTAAGCTCATATACAGGAAACCATTAAAAAAACTTCTTAATTTTTATTTTATTTTTGTAAATCCTTTTGTAGTACTTGGGTTTATTATAGCCAAGGGAAATATAAATGTTGTGAAATAATTAAACTACAAACACTATTTAAAGGTCACCTTACCGCAACTGAGATTTCCTGTTTTATCCTGAATCTCTCTTCTCAATGTTGGTGCTGCAGATCCAGGAAAAACCTATACTACCAGTTATGGTGGGCCTGCCCACCAGTGGCCAAATTTTGGGACCTGATTTTTCTGACATTAATTTAATTACAAAACAGTAAGTCTTTTCTGTGGGGTGTCTGGGGCAGACTGAATAAAGACTGTTGCAACACCTACTAGCTGCAGCACAAATGCTTATAGCTAAAAGTTGGAAATATTTGGAGGGGATTAGCAAAGAGACCTGGTACAGACAGTTCTTTTTTAAAAAAAATAGTGATAATGGAAATGAAAAACAACAACAACAACAACAACAACAACAGCCTCTATTAAAAGAGTCCCACTTTTGGGGGGACTCCTATGACAGCAATGTATGGCTCAACTGCAAGGGAATTGCAGGCAAAAGAAATGGAAAAGATGGGGCACATAGGTCATGCCCACACTGTACTTTTAAAGCATGGGGCTCCTGCAAAGGATCATGGGAGCTGGGAATTGTTGCTCCGTGAGGAGTAAACGATAGATCCCAGAAGGCTTTGACGGAAGCCATACGTCTTAAATGTGCTTTAAGAATAGTTCAATGGAAATTTAATACTGAAATTGTCAAGGCCGATGGTTAGTACAGTTCAGCTGATAAAACATACCAGCACAGAGATTAAACTGGCATGCCTGTAATCTCCTCATTCTCACTGACCTACTTTTTACGGTATTACCTCTTAGTCAGTTGTAAGGAGCCTTACTGTAGAGTCAAGATAATAAGAGTATTTTTTTAAAAAAAACCCTCAATAGGCGATATATTTATTTTACTTTATTTTTTTTTAATTGTGAGAACATGATGTGTCACTCAGTGGTGTGACTCATTTTTTTAAGAAGTCAAGCCTGGGAACTTCTGGTTGAGACAGTTTTTCAGAAACCTGCACCATCTTTCTCGCACTCACCTTAATGAGGGAAATTCAAGGAATTTATTGAACTTACCTTCAGTTTCCTTGTCCTCCAGGGATGGGCAAATCTGTACATTTTG